TAAACCCTAGGCCCTAAACCCTAGGCCCTAAACGTAAGGCCCTAAACCCTAGGCACTAAACCTAAGGCCCCAAACCCCAGGCCCTAAACCTAAGGCCCCAAACCCTAGGCCCTAAACCTAAGGCCCTAAACCCTAGGCCCTAAACCTAAGGCCCCAAACCCTAGGCCCTAAACCCTAGGCCCTAAACCCAAGGCCCTAAACGCAAGGCCCTAAACCCTAGGCACTAAACCTAAGGCCCCAAACCCTAGGCCCTAAACCTAAGGCCCCAAACCCTAGGCCCTAAACCTAAGGCCCTGAACCCTAGGCCCTAAACGTAAGGCCCTAAACCCTAGGCCCTAAACCTAAGGCCCCAAACCCTAGGCCGTCAACCTAAGGCCCCAAACCCTAGGCCCTAAACCCTAGGCCCTAAACCCTAGGCCCTAAACGTAAGGCCCTAAACCCTAGGCACTAAACCTAAGGCCCCAAACCCCAGGCCCTAAACCTAAGGCCCCAAACCCTAGGCCCTAAACCTAAGGCCCTAAACCCTAGGCCCTAAACCTAAGGCCCCAAACCCTAGGCCCTAAACCCTAGGCCCTAAACCCAAGGCCCTAAACGCAAGGCCCTAAACCCTAGGCACTAAACCTAAGGCCCCAAACCCTAGGCCCTAAACCTAAGGCCCCAAACCCTAGGCCCTAAACCTAAGGCCCTAAACCCTAGGCCTTAAACGTATGGCCTAGGGGAGGGGGGCGGGAGGGGCTGAAAATCGGGCAGCATTTCCTTCCCCCAAGCATGCCGGTAGAAAGGGGAAAAAAAGAGAAAAAAAAACAAACCTCAACCGAATAAAAGGTAGAAAAAGGTAGAAAAAGGTAGAAAAAGGTAGAAAAAGGTAGAAAAAGGTAGAAAAAGGTAGAAAAAGGTAGAAAAAGGTAGAAAAAGGTAGAAAAAGGTAGAAAAAGGTAGAAAAAGGTAGAAAAAAGTAGAAAAAGGTAGAAAAAGGTAGAAAAAGGTAGAAAAAGGTAGAAAAGGTAGAAAAGGTAGAAAAACGAAGAAATGGTGGATACCGTGTGTGTGTACAAATGAAAAAAAATGGTGTTGGGAACCAGGCATGTCTTGACAGACAGGCAGAAACCGGAAGATTTTGGAAGAAAATTGCAGAATTCCGACGAATCTAGAAGAATTTAGAAGAACTTAAAAGCATGCAGCAGTCTTACGTAGAACAGGGAAGACTACAAGGCTTGCTCCAGACACTCGCACCAAAAGCATTTGCATGAATTTCGCATAAAAAAACAAAAAAATTTCCTCGCTTCGCGAACATCCATATTTGTTTTCAACTCTAGTACTCCACACACACTACAAGGCTTGCTCCAGACGCCAGACACTCGCATCAAAAGCATTTGCATGAATTTTGCATAAAAAAACAAAAAATTTCTTCGCTTCGCGAACATCCATATTTTGTTTTCAACTCTAGTACTCCACACACACTACAAGGCTTGCTCCAGACACTCGCACCAAAAGCATTTGCATGAATTTTGCATAAAAAAAAAACAAAAAATTTCCTCGCTTCGCGAACATCCATATTTGTTTTCAACTCTAGTACTCCACACACACTACAAGGCTTGCTCCAGATACTCGCACCAAAAGCATTTGCATGAATTTTGCATAAAAAAACAAAAATTTCCTCGCTTCGCGAACATCCATATTTGTTATTTCAACTCTAGTACTCCACACACACTACAAGGCTTGCTCCAGACACTCGCGCCAAAAGCATTTGCATGATTTTTGCATAAAAAACAAAAAATTTCCTCGCTTCGCGAACATCCATATTTGTTTTCAACTCTAGTACTCCACACACACTAATTACAAGGCTTGCTCCAGACACTCACACCAAAAGCATTTGCATGAATTTTGCATAAAAAAAACAAAAAATTTCCTCGCTTCGCGAACATCCATATTTGTTTTCAACTCCTGGTACCAAAACACAATTTAAGGCTTGCTCCAGACACTCGCACCAAAATTCATTTGCCTGAATTTGCATAAACAAAAACAAAAAAAATTCCGCGCTTCGCGGAACATCAATATTGTTTCAACTCTAGTACGCCACACACATACAAGTCTTGCTCCAGACACTCGCATCCAAAAGCATTTTGCAGAATTGTGCATAACAAAAACAAAAACAAGTTCTAGCTTCGCGAACATCCATATTTTGTTTTCAACTCTGGTACTCCACACACACTACAAGGCTTGCTCCAGACACTCGCACCAAAATCATTTGCATGAATTTTGCATAAAAAACAAAAAAAAATTTCCTCGCTTCGCGAACATCCATATTTGTTTTCAACTCTAGTACTCCACACACACTACAAGGCTTGCTCCAGACACTCGCGCCAAAAGCATTTGCATGAATTTTGCATAAAAACAAAAAATTTCTTCGCTTCGCGAACATCCATATTTGTTTTCAACTCTAGTACTCCACACACACTAATTACAAGGCTTGCTCCAGACACTCACACCAAAAGCATTTGCATGAATTTTGCATAAAAAAACAAAAAATTTCTTCGCTTCGCGAACATCCATATTTTGTTTTCAACTCTAGTACTCCACACACACTACAAGGCTTGCTCCAGACACTCGCACCAAAAGCATTTGCATGAATTTTGCATAAAAAAAAAACAAAAAATTTCCTCGCTTCGCGAACATCCATATTTGTTTTCAACTCTAGTACTCCACACACACTAATTACAAGGCTTGCTCCAGATACTCGCACCAAAAGCATTTGCATGAATTTTGCATAAAAAAACAAAAAAATTTCCTCGCTTCGCGAACATCCATATTTGTTTTCAACTCTAGTACTCCACACACACTACAAGGCTTGCTTCAGACACTCGCATCAAAAGCATTTGCATGAATTTTGCATAAAAAAACAAAAATTTCTTCGCTTCGCGAACATCCATATTTGGTTTCGACTCCTAGTACTCCACACACACTAATTACAAGGCTTGCTCCAGATACTCGCACCAAAAGCATTTGCATGAATTTTGCATAAAAAAACAAAAAATTTCCTCGCTTCGCGAACATCCATATTTGTTTTCAACTCTTGTACTCCACACACACTACAAGGCTTGCTCCAGACACTCGCGCCAAAAGCATTTGCATGAATTTTGCATAAAAAACAAAAAATTTCCTCGCTTCGCGAACATCCATATTTGTTTTCAACTCTGGTACTCCACACACACTACAAGGCTTGCTCCAGACACTCGCCCCAAAAGCATTTGCATGAATTTTGCATAAAAAACAAAAAAATTTCCTCGCTTCGCGAACATCCATATTTGTTTTCAACTCTAGTACTCCACACACACTACAAGGCTTGCTCCAGACACTCGCACCAAAAGCATTTGCTGAATTTTGCATAAAAAAACAAAAAATTTCTTCGCTTCGCGAACATCCATATTTGGTTTCGACTCTAGTACTCCACACACACTACAAGGCTTGCCCCAGACACTCGCACCAAAAGCATTTGCATGAATTTTGCATAAAAAAAACAAAAAATTTCCTCGCTTCGCGAACATCCATATTTGTTTTCAACTCTAGTACTCCACACACACTACAAGGCTTGCAATTGCATGATTTTGCATAAAAAAAACAAAAAAAAAATTCCTTCGTCGCGAACATATCCATCATATTTGTTTTTAAACTCTAGGACTCCACACCCACACAAGTGCTGCTCCAGACACTGACACCAAAAGCATTTGCATGGGGGGTTTTTCAAGGGAATTTTTTTGTTTTTGGGCAATAAAAAACAAAAAAATTTCCTCGCTTCGCGAACATCCATATTTGTTTTCAACTCTAGTACTCCACACACACTACAAGGCTTGCTCCAGACACTCGCATCAAATGCATTTGCATGAATTTTGCATAAAAAAAAAACAAAAAATTTCTTCGCTTCGCGAACATCCATATTTGGTTTCGACTCTAGTACTCCACACACACTACAAGGCTTGCCCCAGACACTCGCACCAAAAGCATTTGCATGAATTTTGCATAAAAAAACAAAAAATTTCCTCGCTTCGCGAACATCCATATTTGTTTTCAACTCTAGTACTCCACACACACTACAAGGCTTGCAATTGCATGAATTTTGCATAAAAAAACAAAAAAAAAATTCCTCGCTTCGCGAACATCCATATTTGTTTTCAACTCTAGTACTCCACACACACTACAAGGCTTGCTCCAGACACTCGCACCAAAAGCATTTGCATGAATTTTGCATAAAAAACAAAAAAATTCGTCGCTTCGCGAACATAGCAAAGGGTTTCAATTTTCCACACACATAGTCTATTACTCTGTTACTCCATTACTCTATTATTCTATTAATCTATTACTCTATTACTCTATTACTCAAATACTCTAGTACTCTATTAGTCTATTACTCTATTATTCTATTACTCTATTACTTCACTACTCGATTACTCATATTTGTTTTCAACTCTAGTACTCCCACAAAGTGGGTGTTTTCACCCAAACCCTAACCCCTAAACCCTACACCTTTAGACCCGAACAACCGTAAGCCCTAAACCCTAAACCTTTAAACCCTGAACCTCGGAAGTTGGCACCCTAAACTTTGTGGGCCCCGAAGCTGACCAATACTAGACCTAGAATCTTTAAACCCTAAACCTCGGTGTTCCATTTTGGAAGGTCCTCGAGCCGTGCCAGGAAGCCTAAACCATGAGCCCTAAACCCTAAACCGTGTTTAAGCCTCAAATTGAAACCCTCACATAATTCGCATTTCTGCCACAATCTTCCAAATAATTTGTTTTTCTTCAATAATCTTCCAAATAATTCATTTTTCTTCAACAATCTTCCAAATAATTCGTTTTTCTTCAACAATCTTCCAAATAATTCAACAATCTTCTTAAATCTTCGGTAGTGGCTGAGAAGTACCCCTGCTGAGAAATACCCCTAGGCTCATGAATGATAACCTGATTTGTGTTTACATACCTGCAAAAATTTCTGAATCCAAACAGGTCTATGAAAAACGGGCGGCGATTTGGAATGCCCTAGACGCTCTTGTGCAGGCCCTTCCCAGCAGACACTTCATGTACCTTGCTGGTGATTTCAACACCGATTTGCTTCAGGAGCATCCTTATGTTGGAGTGACACACACCCACAAGGGCAAAGAACGTGCGGTTGCCCAAGATCAGCACATTTTTCAAAATCTCCTTCGGACACATGGCTTGCGAGCACTCAATTCGTGGGACAATCAAAGCACTTATGTCGACCCACATGGTCCTGCCTCTAGGGTGGACTTTGTCCTTGCGAGAACCATGCAGGCCACGGGTTGTCCCGTCACCGTTCAGCCACAGATCCATTTTGCATCCTGGCGCTCCGGAGCCAGGCATATGCCTCTTTTGGGTATGATTGACTTGAAGGCCTGGTGTCGCTTCCGGGATCGTACTCCAGCCAAGCTTGCCATTGATCAGGATGCTTTGTGCCGGGCCTGTCGCCCCGGCCCTGAGCTTGAGATACTTCGCCAGGCCTTTGCTGCCAAGCAACACCTTTTTACAGCTGATTTGCTACCCTCCCAAGCGGAGGCTGAGCTTCGCAACATCTGTGTCAAGGCTTTTCCTTTGCAGCGCAATCGAACCATTGCTCTGCAGTGGCAAAACCCGGAGGTTGGTCAGGATTTGTCTCTCACATGGCAACTGCGTCGCAGCCTCAAGCAGCAAGCCGCCTTTTGGCCGCATCTGTCGTCTACGTTTAGAGCATGGAGGTTGCATGTACAGCTAAGCCGAAGAGTCAAAGAACTGAAACGCAACAGCCGTCGTAGGCGACGCGAACATTGGCAAGCACAGCTTTCGGAGGCGGAGCAAGCAAGCAAAGCTGGCAACCCGCTGAAATTCTTTCAAGTTGTGCAGAGGCTGGCACCCAAGCGAGCACATGCACGAGTTCAGATCCGTGATCCCAAGGGTCAGATCCTCACTCCAGCCTTGGAAGACAAAGCCCTTGCAGACTACTGGCAAGGTATCTACTCCAGCACCAGTCTGCCTTATCAGGCTGTTTGTCTTCGTGAGCCACTCCTTGTTACCCAGCAGGAGCTCCATGATGCTCTCCGAGGCCTCAAACAACGAAAAGCTGTAGCCAAAGATTTGGCTCCGGCTGCTGTCTGGAAGGCCCTTGCCTCTCTTCTGTCTTGCTATCTGAATGCCGTGCTGAGCAAAATCTGGCAGCCTGGTCCGCTTCACATTCCATCTGTTTGGGCAAGGTCGGATCTACATTTTCTCTTGAAGCCTCAAAAAGTCACGCGACGGCCGCAGGATGTGCGCCCAATTGCCCTCCAATCGGCGGCGGCAAAGGCAGTCCTGACAGTCTTTAAGCAACGCTTGCAGCCCAGCTTCTTGGAGGCTATGCGCACCCTCCCACAGTATGCCTACGTGATGGGAAGGTCCACTCACGAGGCTATCTCGCGGGTAGCGGCACATTGCAAGGAAGTCCGTGACTTGCTCAGGTCTCAAAGCTTGACGGTTTTCGATCGATTTGAAGGTGCACGTTACACCCCGTGTATTGGTGGGGCCCAACTTTGGCTCGATCTGTCGAAAGCTTTCGACCTTTTGCCCCGAAGGACCTTGCAGCTTTTGCTACGAGACACAGACCTTTCTCTTGAAGAACAGCAGGTTCTACTTGAATGGCATCAGGCCGGCAAGTATAGGATACATAGCAAGGGCAACGAGCATCCGGTCTTTGTTCGGCTTGAATGTGGGGTTAGGCAGGGATGCGTGTTGTCTCCTTTCTTGTGGGGGTTGTTCACAAAGCACATTCAAAAACGCCTTGATGAGGCCAACGGCCCAGGATGGACTGCCCGGCGTGGCACTCTCTTTGCGGATGATATGCATTTTAAATGGGTTTTCCGCACAGAGGCTGAATTGCATAGCATCCGTCTTGAGGTTCTCAACATCTTTCGCATACTGCGTGAGCTTGGAATGCAGGCCAACCCCGATAAAAGTACCTTTATCATAGGTGCCAGAGGACAGCAAGCGCGAAAGTGGGTGAAACGCTGGGTCCGCAAGGACTCCGACGGTCGCAAGCAGTTCCATTTTGGAGGTGCCAAACAAGATAGAGTCCCAGTGGCCAGTCAGCTTACCTATCTTGGAGTTGTTCTCTCTTATCGGAATTTCGAGTTGGCGACTGCTAACCATAGGATAGGGGTAGCCGCAGGCCATCGTGATCGGCTCCGCCGAATTTTGCATGCCAGACGTGTGCTCAGTGTGGGGCATCGCCTCCGACTGTGGCGCATTATGGTGCAGACGTCGCAGTTATATGCTGTTGAAGCTGTTGGCCTGACCGCTGAGACGGCCAAGCTCCTTCACATCCAGACTATGCGGCATATGCGAGCGAATATTGGCTCTGCCAGGCACGTGGATGGGGATTCGGATCAGCTTTTCATGCTTAAGCATAGCATTCCTGATTGTGTAGAGCTGGTTAAGACAAAGTGTGACGCTTTTTGCCAACGATTGGCACGAACTGAGCTTGAGATCCCATGCTTTGGTGCCGAGGGCATTTTGCAATGGGCACAGTTTGTGCGGGACTCACTGCCGCCACCCTACATTGCCAAGCCTCGGTCTCAGCCGACTCCTGCATCTTCAGCCTCTGTACCCACCCCCGTCCCTGAGGATTCGGCACCCAGTGCTCACCCCAAGCCTGTACCATTGCCTCCGCTGTCCAGTGAGCGTGCTGTTGCTGGTGCAGTCGTTGCTTCTGCACCCTCTGCTCCTACAATGGCCCCGTCCTCGGGACCACCAGCACCCTCTAAGCCCGAGAACGGCTTCTCTTGCGCGATCTGTGATCAGGTCTTCTCTAACCTACACGATCTCAAGACACATGAGGGCAAGGCCCACAAGAAGGTCCGGGATAAAATTGCCCAAGTTCAGCACACTGAGCATGGCTACAACGGCTTTCCCATATGCAGGCACTGTGGTGACAAATTCTCCAAATGGAGTGCGCTTACAAGGCATGTTACCAGGCAGGGCTGCCCTGCCCTTGAACGTGGTGAGCCGGAAGCATATGCAAAGTCGCAGGCTGAGGCTATGGTGACGCCCCACGTGCAAAGGCCACACATTATGCAAGCCATACGTGAAAATGGCTGGGAATCGCTCTTGACCAATGCTGATCTGTGTGTCGACCTCAAGCAACGGTGTGCCTTGTGCTATCAATGGGTCGTCTCGCGGAATGGAGTTAGGAAACACCTTCGCCTTAAACACCCTGAGCACTTTCTCCTTCACGAAACTGCTATCAGCCAACAGACTGCTCTGTGGAAGTCCTTCATAGCCTCGCCGTGTCAAGCTTGCGGCACCCACATTGTGGATCGTCGCCAACATGCAGGCAGCTGTCTTGTTCTTCTGCAATTGATGCTCATGTCGTGCATGTTGGTTGGACATTGCAAATCCAGCAAAGCTCCGGCAGGATCCAGTGCTTCAAGAGAAGCAGCTGTGGGGGCATCTTCTGCCCTCCCTGGAGGAGGCGGTTCAGGATTGGCCAATGAATCACGACGACAGCAAAGGGGACAAGCCATCGGAGGCAAAGTCGAAGGACCTGAACAAGCGCCGTCGAACAAACGACAATCCAAGCTTCAGTTCGGACAAGCAAGATCGCAAGGGCAAAGGCAAGGGCAAGGGCAAGACCAAATCCTCGAAGGATGCAAGCAAGATGGAACTGAAGGAGGCGGTTCAGCTTATGGCGGCCATGACTCTGCAGCTAGTGGATCAGGCGAGCAGGGTTCAGCTGGACACCAGCTTTCTACTTACCATGAAGAACGAGCCGGGTCCGGAAAACCTGTTACCCATCATGTACAAGGTGTGGAAAGCCTGGAAAACCATGCAAGAACAGGAGCCAAGCAAGCTGGACAAACCTCTTCGTTGCAGTATGATGATCTCCATGCTTCTGGAAATCAAGGCCAGAGCCAAAAAGCTGCTGGACGACTCCGAGCAGCAGGAACGCATGAAGGCTCTCGAGTGGATCGACTCCGAGGGTCGATGGGTCTATCGCAAATGGTCTCCAACTCAGGAGGCTCTGTACCTCGATCAGTCCAGGAAGCCGATTCCTCAAACAGTATTCATCGAGCAGCTGGATCAGGCCATGACTTTGCTTGTACGTCCGGAAAACATGCCGAGATTTCAGTCGAGGGAACTGGCCCCGGAGATGAAGGGCTACGCGGTGACCTTTCATGTGGACATCGGGCTCCGCTCGGAAGCAGAGCCTCTGTGGCAGATTTTCAACACATGGGTGGACCTCCAGGCCTGGGGGTTGGGGGCGGTGAGAATTCGGCCCCATCGGCTGAAGCGACCGCCCGCGGCCGATCGTCTATCGGTCTGGCTTGGTAATCACTGAGGCTTCAGAATCCTAGCAATCATTGTTATGCTAATTCTGTGGTGCTTGCTTGTGGTCGATGGCTGCAGCCTTCACCTCTGTCTGCTGCTGCCGCAGGTGCCAATCCTTTCCTGAAAGCGCTTGCAGCACTACAAGGCTTAAGCTTCTCTCGTGATTATGGCCTCTTCAACATGCTCTCTTGGAGGTCGCTGTTTACGGGGTGGAGCAGGCCGAATCAACAGCATGATGCGACGGAATTCCTTCTTCATCTGCTGCGCCAGGGGTCTGATGCTCCTTGGGTGAGCCGCTGGCTGGCTGGTACACAACTAGGCGACCGCTTCGAGGTTGAGGATTCGGGCTCCAATGTCATCTTGATGCCTATTGCAGGTGCTGGCGATGCTACAAGGTACACTCTCCAAGAGTGTGTCCAAGCCTGGCATATGCAGCCTTCGCAACTCTGGGAAGGAAAAACAAGTCTTTATTGCCTCAGTGAGTTCGAAACTCATGTGTGCATTGTGTTGCAACGCTTCCACGTTGGTGCTACCACGATCAGCAAGTGCCACACTCCGGTGCAGGTGGATTCTACATGTGAGTTGCCGGTGTATCGTGCTGGAGCTGTTATGTGGCAGCCCTTTCATGTATGTGCAGTGACTTATCACATTGGCGAGTTGCCGACCAGCGGTCACTACAGAAGCATTCTTTACTTGAATGATGGGCTGCAGCTTGCAACTGAAGACAAAGTGAAAGCTAAGAAACTGAGTGCGAAGGATCGTAGCTTAGGCAGTGCTGGTGCTTACATTGTGTACTTGTCCTCAAATCCTTGTTTGTTGCTTTTGCATTGCATCGTACTCGTGTGTTTCACTGACGGCTCGCTGACACTCGTGTCGGGGCGCCATGCTGGCACTCGTGCCGATGGCTGAATGTGTGCGTAGCTGTACACAGTCGCTTGTTACATGTAACACACGTGTAACATGTAGTGACCGGGTCCAAAAGGACTTGTTCTTGTGCCACTTGCGCGCAAGGTGGAGACCGCAACTCTCGCCCGCGTTTTCAAAGTCAAAAAAGTCACTTCTTCCCGTCACATACAGTCTCCTCCTGCTTTACCTACGGTTCTGATTGATCCCGACATTTGATGACCGCGAGGGTTATGTATGCTGGGAGGCTCACGCTCATCACTGGAGCCTATCACGGGACCTGAATGATTGCGTTTTTGTATGCACTACTCGATTCTGGCTCCGGGATACATCGGGAGGACGAAAGTTTTGACCTACTGGGCCTTTCTTGTCTTAAGGCATCTTGCGGAGTAGCGGAGTAGCGACAAGTGCGATTTACGTGGCCTGGCCAGCGGAGTATTTTATACCCCGTTTTAAAATTATACTACTTTAATGTTCCGGAGGAGTAACCGGTGGGTCCTGGGTGCTAGGAGTCTACGGGGGAATGGGGGCCTGTCTTGGACGAAGGAAGGAATAGGTCAAACTTTCGTCCTACCGCAGCGTCAATTTTGGGTGCCAGAGTCCAGCCCAAGCAAACCCAGGGTGAAAGTGTTCGGCTTTGCTTTCACCCAGACTGCAAAGGAGGGGACTCTTGCCTCGAAAATGGAGGCTGCGCCGGGCCGATAGTTCGACCCACTAGCTTCAACATGCTTTACAACACATGTGCCTCCACCCTCCTCCCCATAGACTCCTAACACAAGTGAGCCTTGGGGCCTCCGCCGGAATTAAAAAGTATTATATTTTTAAAACGGCGTAGTAATTACTCGGCTGGCCTGCGTAGGGTGAACGGCACTTTGAGGTACTCCGCTACTCCGCAAGAGCTTGTTAAGATGATGCACAAGTGGGTCGAAAGTTTCGGCCCGGCGATGCCTTCTGAATCGTTTCTTAGACGGGGATGTCTGTCTAGGGGACCCTGCAGGAGGTCGTTAGGTCACACAGCAACAAGTTTGGCGAGGTTTGCTGAACAGAAAGGTCCCGGTGAGGCATCGGGAGGACGCAAGTTTTGACCTACTGGGCCTTTCTTGTCTTAAGGCATCTTGCGGAGTAGCGGAGTAGCGACAAGTGCGATTTACGTGGCCTGGCCAGCGGAGTATTTTATACCCCGTTTTAAAATTATACTACTTTAATGTTCAGGAGGAGTAACCGGTGGGTCCTGTGTGCTAGGAGTCTACGGGGGAATGGGGGCCTGTCTTGGACGAAGGCAGGAATAGGTCAAACTTTCGTCCTACCGCAGCGTCAATTTTGGGTGCCAGAGTCCCGCCCAAGCAAACCCAGGGTGAAAGTGTTCGGCTTTGCTTTCACCAAGACTGCAAAGGAGGGGACTCTCGCCTCGAAAATGGAGGCTGCGCCGGGCCGATAGTTCGACCCACTATAGCCTCAACATGCTTTACAACACATGGGCCTCCACCCTCTTCCCCATAGACTCCTAACACAAGTGAGCCTGGGGGCCTCCGCCGGAGCTAAAAAGTATTATATTTTTAAAACGGCGTAGTATTTACTCCGCTGGCCTGCGTAGGGTAAACGGCACTTTGAGGTACTCCGCTACTCCGCAAGAGCTTGTATGTAAGATGATGCACAAGTGGGTCGAAACTTTCGGCCCGGCGATGCCTTCTGAATCGTTTCTTAGACGGGGATGTCTGTCTAGGAGACCTGAAGTTTGCTGAACAGAAAGGTCCCGGTGAGGCAGCGTCAATTTTGGGTGCCAGAGTCCAGCCCAAACAACCCCAGGGTGAAAGTGTTCGGCTTTGCTTTCACCAAGACTGCAAAGGAGGGGACTCTCGCCTCGAAAATGGAGGCTGCGCCGGGCCGATAGTTCGACCCACTATAGCCTCAACATGCTTTACAACACATGGGCCTCCACCCTCTTCCCCATAGACTCCTAACACAAGTGAGCTTTGGGGCCTCCGCCGGAATGCAAAAAGTATTATATTCTTAAAACGGCGTAGTAATTACTCCGCTGGCCTGCGTAGGGTGAACGGCACTTTGAGGTACTCCGCTACTCCGCAAGCGCTTGTTAAGATGATGCACAAGTGGGTCGAAACTTTCGGCCCGGCGATGCCTTCTGAATCGTTTCTTAGACGGGGATGTCTGTCTAGGGGACCCTGCAGGAGGGCGTTAGGTCACACAGCAACAAGTTTGGCGAGGTTTGCTGAACAGAAAGGTCCCGGTGAGGCATCGGGAGGACGAAAGTTTTGACCTACTGGGCCTTTCGTGTCTTAAGGCATCTTGCGGAGTAGCGGAGTAGCGACAAGTGCGATTTACGTGGCCTGGCCAGCGGAGTATTTTATACCCCGTTTTAAAATTATACTACTTTAATGTTCCGGAGGAGTAACCGGTGGGTCCTGTGTGCTAGGATTCTACGGGGGAATGGGGGCCTGTCTTGGACGAAGGAAGGAATAGGTCAAACTTTCGTCCTACCGCAGCGTCAATTTTGGGTGCCAGAGTCCAGCCCAAGCAAACCCAGGGTGAAAGTGTTCGGCTTTGCTTTCACCAAGACTGCAAAGGAGGGGACTCTTGCCTCGAAAATGGAGGCTGCGCCGGGCCGATAGTTCGACCCACTAGCTTCAACATGCTTTACAACACATTGGCCTCCACCCTCTTCCCCATAGACTCCTAACACAAGTGAGCCTTGGGGCCTCCGCCGGAATTAAAAAGTATTATATTTTTAAAACGGCGTAGTAATTACTCCGCTGGCCTGCGTAGGGTGAACGGCACTTTGATGTACTCCGCTACTCCGCAAGAGCTTGTTAAGATGATGCACAAGTGGGTCGAAACTTTCGGCCCGGCGATGCCTTCTGAATCGTTTCTTAGACGGGGATGTCTGTCTAGAGGCCCCTGCAGGAGGTCGTTAGGTCACACAGCAACAAGTTTGGCGAGGTTTGCTGAACAGAAAGGTCCCGGTGAGGCATCGGGAGGACGAAAGTTTTGACCTACTGGGCCTTTCTTGTCTTAAGGCATCTTGCGGAGTAGCGGAGTAGCGACAAGGGCGATTTACGTGGCCTGGCCAGCGGAGTATTTTATACCCCGTTTTAAAATTATACTACTTTAATGTTCCGGAGGAGTAACCGGTGGGTCCTGTGTGCTAGGAGTCTACGGGGGAATGGGGGCCTGTCTTGGACGAAGGAAGGAATAGGTCAAACTTTCGTCCTACCGCAGCGTCAATTTTGGGTGCCAGAGTCCAGCCCAAGCAAACCCAGGGTGAAAGTGTTCGGCTTTGCTTTCACCAAGACTGGAAAGGAGGGGACTCTTGCCTCGAAAATGGAGGCTGCGCCGGGCCGATAGTTCGACCCACTAGCTTCAACATGCTTTACAACACATGGGCCTCCACCCTCTTCCCCATAGACTCCTAACACAAGTGAGCCTTGGGGCCTCCTCCGGAATGCAAAAAGTATTATATTCTTAAAACGGCGTAGTAATTACTCCGCTGGCCTGCGTAGGGTGAACGGCACTTTGAGGTACTCCGCTACTCCGCAAGAGCTTGTTAAGATGATGCACAAGTGGGTCGAAACTTTCGGCCCGGCGATGCCTTCTGAATCGTTTCTTAGACGGGGATGTCTGTCTAGAGGACCCTGCAGGAGGTCGTTAGGTCACACAGCAACAAGTTTGGCGAGGTTTGCTGAACAGAAAGGTCCCGGTGAGGCATCGGGAGGACGAAAGTTTTGACCTACTGGCCTTTCTTGTCTTAAGGCATCTTGCGGAGTAGCGGAGTAGCGACAAGTGCGATTTACGTGGCCTGGCCAGCGGAGTATTTTATACCCCGTTTTAAAATTATACTACTTTAATGTTCCGTAGGAGTAACCGGTGGGTCCTGTGTGCTAGGAGTCTACGGGGGAATGGGGGCCTGTCTTGGACGAAGGCAGGAATAGGTCAAACTTTCGTCCTACCGCAGCGTCAATTTTGGGTGCCAGAGTGCAGCCCAAGCAAACCCAGGGTGAAAGTGTTCGGCTTTGCTTTCACCAAGACTGCAAAGGAGGGGACTCTTGCCTCGAAAATGGAGGCTGCGCCGGGCCGATAGTTCGACCCACTAGA